CGGCGCGAGGTTGAGGCCGCCGGAGTGGCGCACGGAGCTGGGGTACATGCTCACGTCCTTGTCTAGAAGGTAGCTCACGTACATGGTGGCGAGGGACCCAGAACAGACCTCACCATGCTGCCTGGGGATGAACGCTGGAGGCTGCCAGGGGCGCAGAGGGCTAGGGATGAGGGTGCGCGGGGAGCTGCCGGTGGCTGGCTGCACCTCGGCCCACGGTGCTCCGCTGGCTCCTTGCGGCGCTCCTGCCTCCCGGGCAGTCCCTCCCTCTGTCCTGCCTCCTCCCTCTCTTCCTTCTTTCCTCCCACCTCCTTGCCACTAGGCTGTAGAGGCGGGGGCCACAGGTTGGCTTGCGAAGTCCCAGGCCAGCGCCTTACGTGATTAACGAGTGTTTACAAGACTCTATTAGTAATGACACAGACACCAATGGCTGGAGACGCCGAGGCGCAGCGCACGACGCTCACAACCCCCCAGAAACAAGATTTGCATTTTAAAAGATAAAGGGGGGGGGGCTTGCGAGGGGGCAGCGACCAGATAGATCACAGCTAAATATTCAATCCTTTATTGTTAAAGAGCTTCCTCCTTCCAACCTGCTGCACTTTAACCTCCAATCACAGGTTCAAAGAATGAAATCAAGGGACTTGCAAAAGCCTTGGGGAGAGCGAAAGCAATCTTGGTGGGAATCTGGGTTTAGAGACAGGAGCAGTCTTGTTCATGCATTCGCAAGGGAGGAGGAGGTCAAGAAACTCAAAGAGAAGAGGAAAAAAAAAAAAAAGAAAAGAAAAGAAGAAGAAGAAGCCATTGCTTTGAGGACATTTCTGACCAACCCAGAAGGAAACTTGTGGAGCTAAGACCTGGGCCGTTCCTTCCCGCCAGGATGAGACTGCCTGCCATCCCAACAACTGTCAGCACTATTCCTTAAGTTTATTTCCTTACCAAAGGAAATCACTCGACCTCCGAAAATAAAAGACGATACTAGCTCCAGGTTTCGCCTTCGAATTCGTCCTTGCACTTAGATTTGAGTTCAATTAAAGCAATTCATTTTTACATTAATGAATCGAACACTTCTACAAAGCCATGATATGTTTGGCTATGGCTTACCTTGGAGGGCAGTAATCGAAGGGATGGCTAGGATCTTGGTAAATTTCCACCCCTTGCTAATTACAGGGTGTATTCAGTTTGAAATTTCAACCAATTACACTTATATTTTATTAATATTATTTAAGAGTTGAAAAATCAAGGAGCAGCCAGGCGGTGGTGGTGCACGCCTTTAATCCCAGCACTCTGTAGGCAGCCTGGTCCACAAGAGCTAGTTCCAGGACAGCCTCCAAAGCCACAGAGAAACTGTGTCTCAAAAAACCAAAAAAGAAAGAAATAAGAAAGAAAGAAAAATCAAGGAGCGAATTTCTGTCTACACCTACTCAGTTATTGTTGTCTAAATCATGCCCCTGCCTTAAAAACACTCTCTCCTGAGGCCTGGAGAGATGTTAAGAGCACCGGTTGCTCTTCAGAGAACCTGTGTTCAATTCCCAGTACCCACTTGGTGGCTCACAACTGTCCATATCTTCAGCCCAGGCACACGAATGCCGCACAGGCAAAACTGCAAAGTTCTCATACCCATAAAAATAATAAATAAATCTTTGAAAAACATTAAATTAGTTTAAGACAGCCCTTTCTCCTTTATGATTTAAATCCTCTCTTCAGAATTTTGGTGTTCATCCCAGGGAATGAAAAGGCAATCTGCTGTCAGTATAAATTATTGCTAGTAAAAAGCAAGTACTGACTTGGAGACCTGGACAGGTCCCCTACAGCAGAGCCTTTGGGGAAGGAGAAAGCCACCTGATTGCACTAGGTAGCTCGTGTGGGGAGCTGCCACTTCAGACATGAGGTTACAAAATGCCCAGGCCCAAGCTGAGTAGCTCTACTTTGTTCTTGCCAGTGCCTGGAACCCTTCCTGGAGCCCTGCTTGAGTGGGTTTCTCTGCTTCTCTGGGTATATGTTCTGTTCGGGGGGGGGGGGGCACTTTCCAGGGTTCTTTATCTCCTTTGATTCCCCACCTCCTATATCTCCTACATCTGTGGGAACTTGCCTGTTCTTCCTACCCTTTGTGTTTTGTCAGGAAGGCTAAAACTGGGGTTGACTGGATGTTCAAGAGCTGTCCCTCAAGAGGCCCTGGAACCTTGTTGTCTTCCATCAACCCTGGGGGGGGGGGAGGTACTTAGCAGGAACCATCTCACTTTCCAAGAAACAAACCTGGAAATAAATATCAAACCCTACTACAGAAGGCAAAAGCAGATAGGGGTGTTCACAGTCCCCATGAGGTGGCTGGGATGTGGGGGTTAAGTGGTGGGCACTGCAGACTTTTGATCTTGGGAGTGTCTCCCACCTCTTCCTGAGACTCAATTCCTCTTTCCATCCTTCATGGCCCCTCCCAGGCTGCTTCTCTGGAAGGCCAGGCCCAAACCCAGGCACAGCCTGAGTCCTTGAATGCCTGCATTCTGGCATTTCTTTGAAACAACCACTTTATTAGGGACAGCCATTCCCTCAACCCTGTGGTGGCTACTTCCTGAGTTTTTATGGCCCAGGCTGCCAGCCTCTGGCTAATTGTCCGTGTTCCAGCTGTGTCTCTGTGCCCTACCATGGAAAAAGGACTCCAGCTTAGGCACTGCTAGGGAAGCAGAAAGGGTTACTCTGCTCCCCCAAGGCCAAGCAACAGGGGCACGTGCATTTTATTTGAGGTGCTTGAACCAGGAAAGGAGATGATACTAGGACACTAACAGGAACTGGTTTTTCTCCTTGTAAAACCTAGGCACCCCCGAAGTAGTAGCCTGATCATGGTTGCAGTGGTATAGTCTGGACTGTTTGGAGAGGAGAAAGGAGCTGATTAATGCTGTCTTTTATTAAGCTCTTCAGAGTGGAAATTTTGCTAAGCCTCCCCCTCCTCCATGGATGGGTTCCTCTCTTAGCCTAAAAAAGGCCCAGCTGTGTCCCCCAAAGGGACAGGACTGTGAGAACAATTCTGAATTTTGTAGAGGGTGGTGAATGGGAAGGAAGCCTGTGTGTCTTTCCACTGGGGACAGTTCTAGCAGGTTGGCAGGTTGGTGGGCTACGCCTGTCCTCTGGAAATCCCCTCTGGGCTCAAAGATGTCCTGTAGACAAAGCTACGACCCCATGACTCTGGTTTAACGCAGAGCAGGAAGCAGCAAAGTCCTGCCTCAGGCTCCCCTTACTGTTGTGCTGAAGAGTTTAGCAACATGCTTAATGTTTTTTAGTCTGAGCTGACACTACTAGAGAAGGGACCACTCTGGGTGTCCTCAACTGCACTGTAGGTGGTGGCTGCCTTCCACATAATTTCCCAGGCACCAGCCTTCGGTATTGAGAAGGCATGAGCTGCTAGGGCAGAGAGTGAGAAGGGAAAAAAAAAAAAATCTCGGTAGATGAAGCCACAGGAAGACTGCGGAGCAGCCAACCTGGTTATCAAAGGGATGGCTCTTTGTTACTGACAACGTAGAGGACATTCCACATTCCTTGAAGAGGGTCCCCTTTCAGGATCTAGGCTGGTGGCCTGAGCTGGGGCTCTGAAAGGACTGGAGGCTACCGGAAGGGGCGGGCTCCCCCACCAGGCAGATGGGGCACTCCTTAAACCCACAGATCACTGACATGGCTCCCTGCCTGCTCAAAGGTCCTGCTGTTTGTTCCAGTCACAGGACCTTGCCTCTGACCCACATTTGTCGTTCCTGCAGCTTGCGAGTGAGTTATCCACCTACCACAGAGTGGGCTCTCTGCCCCTTTGGCACAAACGTGTCCTTTCAGAGTCCCATGTAGTCCCAGTAATGCCACTCGCTCATTAAAAACTTGAATCTTGCCGGGCATTAGTGACGCACGCCTTTAATCCCAGCACTCGGGAGGCAGAGGAAGGCGGATCAGGGTTCTAGAGAAACTCTGTCTCAAAAAAAAACAAACAAGCAAACAAACAAACAAACAAAAAACCAACCAAGCAAACAAACAAACAAACAAAAAACCAACCAAGCAAACAAACAAACAAAAAACTTGAATCTCCAAGAAGAGCAAGAGAGAGCTTGTGGCCAGTCCTCTCAGCCTGTCAGGCAGAGTGCTGTAGGGCACTGCCCAGACTCCAGGGATCTTTGAGCCACTCTACTCAATGGCAATCCACTCACACAAAGAAAAACTCAATAATGCATGAATTGACCCCACAAGGCGCTGCTGCAAACCCACTCAGCTGACATCTCTGGGATGGGGTCAATAGTGTTGCTCTTTCTCTAGGGTTTCCCCAGAATCTGCCACCTGTCCAGCACACTAGGCTACAATGGAGACCCAAGTGTCCATCTAGAGCAGGGAGGGGGTGCTGCAGCTGCTCACAGCTGTCTGCAGAAGCAGATGTGGTCTCAGCTGGCAAACGTTGCATGCTTTTTCCTCCTAAGCACACTGGGGGCCAGGTCCTCTCCAGCTAAGAGGAGCTTCCAGAATTCGTGGCTGGGCATTGTGGGCTGGGATTTCCCAGGTTGGAAGGGATACAGCTGTCGTTTGCCTCTCCTGGAGGGACCATGGAGTGTTCTGATCCAATGCAGGGGATACAGCTTGTTCTGCCCAAAATATATTCTCCCAGCCAGAAGGTCCAAGAAAACAAGGCTGTTGAGGAAAGGGAAAAACGTTTGGCTTTAGAACTCTTTGTAGAATGTTTTTGTTCATTGGATGAAGGTTAAACAAATGATAGCAATAATTTATTTTTTCCTTTGTTCTAAAATTAGTGTGTGGATACTTGGAATGTTGGGCAATTTGATTGCTGTATGGGAGATGAAAACAGAATATGACTAGAGCTTTTGAAAGGGAAGGATTTGAGGGGGGTCTCACAGGCTGGGAAGCACTGGGGAAGCTAGTATCACAGGCTCACAACGGAGAGCATTACCAGTGCTCTTCCATTAGCATGTTCACTCACCATTGTCTCATGCCTGGAATGACCTTATTTATCATATGAAAATCTCTTCCAAGGAAAGCCTACAGGGTAAGTTTTGTGTGGCCAGTTCGGGAAGGAGCGTAGACAAACCTGTCTGTCTCAATTCATATCCACTGACAGGTTGCCTTGCCTGAAGCAGAGTGGTGGTGATGGTGGTGGTGGTGGTGGTGGGTGGTGGTGATAGCAGCACTTAGAACCTGGACAAGCTGTTGTTTTACAAAGACCAGAGAGGATTGGAGAGCTCCCCAAGGCCTTATAGCTAGCTGTTCAGTACAATAAGTCTGATCTTCACAGGTTACAGTAGTCTGTACAGATGTTAATTATTACTATGTCTGTTGGTGCCACCCTGGAAACATCCCCAGTACAAAACCAGCTATCAGGATTCATGGTCTGAGAACTCCCCACCCTATACACACCATAATACCAGAACAATCAGGTTCTCGGCTGCTATGGTGCTGACCACACTCCATACTGCTCTCCCTCTGGGGCACCTGCTCACTTTAGTCTTCCTGTTTATTGAATACATTTCCTCCAGAAGTTCTATTCTAGATTCTTCTCCAGCTGACTGTAAAGGTCTCCATCTACTTTTGTCTCAGAGCAAACACTTTCTTGGAGGGGGGCACTTCATTTTTTTTTTTTAAGAGTTGGAACTGGCATTCTGTGACTCAACTTGGAAAAGTATCAGCTTAAACATGAGTAAAGGTTATGCATCAAATGTGTGTCTCCCTTGCTGCCCTCTCGTTAAATACCAGCATCTTTAAAGACCAAGGCCCAGAATAGGTTTTGAAACACCTTTCCCATTTACAAAGGTGAACCACAAGCTCTAAACGGGTTCCTGATTTCCAGGCTGAGCCTTGTGCGGAGATCCCTTTACAAGAACATTCGCCTGCTGGGCTCGGATGTTTTTGTAAGGGACAGCGACAATGGGGGAGATGAGGAGCGAAGCACACTCCCTCCCCGTGTGTGTGTGTGTGTGTGTGTGTGTGTGTGTGTGTGTGTGTGTGTGTGTGTGATGGGTTGTCTGATTATCGGCTGGAGTCAAAACACAGTGTCCTCGAATCCTTAGGTTGTCTGGTTCTTTTTCATTTTCAGTCTTTTTTCCTTGACGAATTCGTAAGTAAAATATTAATTGTTCCCGCCAAATGCAAACCAGCTATCCCTGCGCCCTCCTGGTGTTTGCCGGGTCCACCCAAGCGAGCGC